CAGTGCGGAGAAAGGGAGAAAAATCATTTTTTTAGGGATAGGCTGATTTACTTTTTCTTACACAATTTTCTTTTAGGACCTCCGGTTGGAGTTGGCGTCACCATGAGCATCATCTCCATCGCCTCTGTCTCTGAGGTAAACATGGACTTCACCTGCGACATGTACTTTCGACAGAGCTGGAAAGACCCTCGGCTGCACTTTAAGCCTCGTGCAGGCATCAGTGCACTGTTTGTCGGCGCCGAAGTGGCCAACTACATCTGGAATCCGGACACCTTCTTTGGCAATGAAAAAGCGGCTCAGTTTCACGAGGTGACCACCAATAACACCTTCATTCGCATTAAGGCCAATGGCGAAGTGTTTCGCTCCACTCGACTCACCGTCACTTCTAGTTGCCCGATGAACTTAAGATACTTTCCCATGGACAGACAGGAGTGCACCATTGAAATTGAGAGTTGTAAGTACAATTGGGCTTTTTTAAGTAATTAAAACCCTAATGTTTATTTGTCCTTCAGATGGGTACGACGTGAAGGACATCATCTACAACTGGGGAATCGACGGAAAGGCAGGTGTCAGCGTCTCGTCCAGTGTCACACTGCCGCAGTTTAGTGTTAAGCGGTACCACAACAGATCCATCATTCAGTATGAAGCCTCTGGTGAGTTTGCTTACATTGCTTTTGTAAACGAGAAAACACTAAAAATTGCATCTTTTAAATGTCTAGGCAACTACTCGCGACTGATTTGTGAAGTCGAACTCGTCCGTTCCTTGGGCTACTACCTTATACAGATTTACATCCCTTCCAGTCTAATCGTCATCATCAGCTGGGTGTCTTTTTGGCTGCATCGAGTGAGTGGTTATCTTTCACAATAAACAGCTGGTTCAGTTTTTTATAATACTTTTCTTCTTTATTTAGAACGCTTCCCCTGCAAGAGTTGCCCTAGGTGTGACCACTGTGCTGACGATGACCACTCTCATGTCATCTACCAACGCTGCGCTGCCAAAGATTTCTTACGTCAAGTCGATAGACGTCTTCCTGGGCACCTGTTTCGTCATGGTTTTCGCCGCCCTTCTTGAGTATGCCACCGTTGGCTACCTCGGCAAGAGGATAGCCTTGAGAGCGGCCAAAGCGGCTCAACTTAATAAGACGATCAATGCAAGGGCTGCAGCGGCGGCGGCTGCGGCAGCCTCTGCATCCGCCACTGCTCTGCCACCTGATCTGCAGCAGGCGAACCGAGTGCAGCCTAGGCCCTCCTGCTGCTCCAGTGAGCCACTGCTCGGACTGCATCACCACCAACACCATCAACAGCATCACCTTCAGCAGCAGCAGCAGCAGCAGCCTGGACGGCCAGTGGTGGTGGACCGAGTAGCGGAGGCCACCACCGCTGTACAGCAGCAGTCATCAGCGCCCAGTCGAAGTGCCGACAATGTGCCGTTGATTCCCAACTCCAACACCTTGTTCGGTGTTTGTCCTGGTAAAACTGGATGCTCTGAAATGTTTGTATCTTTGCTTAAATAACTGTTTTCTTCTACAGGTGACATTGACAAGTATTCCCGTGTCGTCTTTCCCGTCTGCTTTCTCTGCTTCAATCTCATGTACTGGACGGTGTACCTTCACATTTCTAATTTCTTAGAGCTTGATATATCACAGTGAGGCGACTTATGTAGCCAAACAACGTAAATCTAGTAAGTCAAAAGATACATCAGTCAACATCTTTTCTTGTACAAAACACTTTTCTAAACTGCTCAAAATGTAAGGACATACAAACTTTTTTTCTATCATTACTGAACTTACCCAATCTCTTTTAGAGTTCTATATTTTTAAATTCCTCAAATTTGTACGCCGACGTTTTTTGTTGCCGGCCAAAAACTTACTGCACATTCCACTGTCACGACCGCCGTTATACTAACTTCTTTTCTCCATCCAATCAGACACATTGTATACTATCACATTGTTTTTCTCCATTATTGCAATTGCAATAATAAAATGCCCTGCCGAGCAAATGTAATTTCAAACAAATGAAACCAGCTCCAAGCTCATGTTTCACGGCGGTACCTTTTTTTGCTATTTACTAAATTTGTTTTTCACTGAAACTGAACGCAACAAAAAGAGGGAGCCGGCAACGGTAATGCAATTGACAAGTGAGCGTACATTTTATTTTTTTCTCGTTGCAGTTTACCAAGACGGTGCATCGTGCTCAGTGTACAATTTTCTCATCTATTTTCTACAGTTCAATTTATCACGTTGTCTTTTTATTTATTAGCCAAACGAACCATAGCCAGCACGTAAGCAGTGACCATAAAGGCAGAGTCGCTTTTGGCAGTCATCGTCCCCATCGGTTTCCGATTTCCTGCCTGACCGTGTGTGTGCTCCTAAAGTCAACTGATGGCAAAAAGAAAAGATGCCACTAGCGCTGCCCAGTGATGAAGTGTGTCGGCGCCGATAAGAATATAAGATTTGGGGAGTGTGTCCTAGTTAGGAGCCAGTGATGAAAGCAACACTCTGTCTCCAGCAATGTCGGCCAATGAACCCCTTCTCTTCCTGTGCGGAAAAAGAAAGCCTGCAAATACTGGCACCATGTCAAAGTGCGATTTGAAGCTGTGCCAGTGAAGAGCTCCCGAGCTGAGCCGTCGTAAGTGCCCGAGTGGCGGTTTCACTTTCAGACTATATAATCACCGGTTTCAGTCACCCGTTTCACCAGAAAGACTATTTTCAGTCTCTTCTTTTTTCTGCTTCCTTTCCTTTCCTGTCTGGTTGGTGCTGGTGCTGCTGCTGGTGCCTCTGTTGGAACCCTCTGCGTTGCACTGGCCACTCACTACTCGCCTCTCACAGAATGCCAACAGAGAACTCTCCGGGAATAGCAGTAAAAGGTTGAACAGTTCACTCACTCGCCTGCTCACTTTTCCGCTGACATCGTCTGGTCGTCGTCGCCACCAGCNGCGTTGCACTGGCCACTCACTACTCGCCTCTCACAGAATGCCAACAGAGAACTCTCCGGGAATAGCAGTAAAAGGTTGAACAGTTCACTCACTCGCCTGCTCACTTTTCCGCTGACATCGTCTGGTCGTCGTCGCCACCAGCCAACGTTTGTCGCCTGCTGTTTAGGTGCATCATTGCAGTCTCTTTCTTGCTGACCACAAACTTCAAAACCGGGTGATATTGCTAAAAGGCAGGCAAAGATGATGCTGCCACTACTGAAAACCAGCAGATGGACTTTGAAGCCATTCAGTTGTTTACAGTCTGCACAACTGCTGCTTTTTCTTGTCTTCATGTTTGCCAAGACCATCAGTGCCTTAGAGAAAACGCCTATCGGAAAGTAAGTGTTGATTTGATTACTATCAAAACTTGTTTTGGTTTACTTAAATTCATCCGTTTTTTTGCAGTGCTCAAACAGAAATGGGCAAAAATATTACCGAAATTCTCAATACCATCATTACGAAAGGGTACGACAAACGAGTGCGGCCAAACTATGCAGGTGAGTCAGAGTTGGTTTGTGTTTTTGCTTTGTAAACAAAACAAAAATTGATTTCTTTTTTTGCAAACAGGCCCTCCAGTAGACGTAGGCATAGCCGTGTACATCATCTCTATCTCTTCAGTTTCTGAAGTACAAATGGACTTTACTGCAGACATCTACTTTAGGTAAACAAGGTTTATTGGTAAATTGAACTTTGCAATAAGCATATTTTTGCTGCTACCATACCAGACAAAGCTGGAAAGACAACCGTTTGTCCTTTCAAGCCCGAGCGGGCATCAATCAGATGGTTGTGGGTGCTGAGGTGGCCAACTACGTCTGGAATCCGGACACCTTCTTTGGGAATGAAAAGTCCGCCCAGTTTCATAAAGCAACCACACCAAACACCTTCATTCGCATTGGCTCCAATGGAGAGGTGTACCGCTCCACGCGGCTCACTGTGACTAGCACCTGTCCAATGAACCTGCGCTACTTCCCCATGGACCGACAGGAGTGCACTATTGAAGTGGAGAGCTGTACGCGTTTCAGATTGGGTTTGGGTTTTTGAAACTATTAAAACTGCTTTTTTCCTTCACTAGACGGCTACTCAATGGCGGACATTATGTACCGATGGGGCATTGGCGGCAAACCAGGCGTCGAGATGGCCGACGTCAAGTTGCCGCAGTTCAAGGTGAAGGGCTACCAGAACAAGTCAATCATCCAGGATGAAGCTTCGGGTAAAGAGATTGTTTCATATTAAATAAAAACTTGATTGATTTCTACAATTCTACTGTCAATTCAGGCAAATACTCTCGGCTGATTTGCGAAATTGAGCTCGTTCGCTCTCTGGGCTACTACCTAATTCAAATATACATTCCCTCAAGTCTAATCGTCATCATCAGCTGGGTGTCCTTTTGGCTGCATCGAGTAAGATGTTGTGTTAAACCTTTGAGACAATGACTAAACCAAAAACTTTAATCTCTAGAACGCCTCTCCCGCCCGCGTCCAACTGGGCGTCACAACTGTGCTGACGATGACCACCCTCATGTCGTCCACCAACGCTGCCCTGCCAAAGATCTCCTACGTCAAGTCAATCGACGTCTTCCTGGGCACCTGTTTCGTCATGGTCTTCGCCGCCCTTCTTGAGTATGCCACCGTTGGCTACATGGGCAAGCGGATCGCCCTGCGCACCGCCAAGGTGCAGGCCAAGCAGATGAACAGCAACAACGCCCGTCGTCAGACCGGCGTGAAGGCCATCGTGAGCACCAGTCAGGTGGAGATGGGCCCCATTCTCCGTCCGCCCCATGTGGTCAGTCAGTCGGTCTGTGAACCGTTGCTCGGCCATCCCTCACTGCGACTGCGTCGACCCGAGGGCGAGACCACCTATACGACTGCCGCCGGCGGTGGTGGTGCCCCGGGCCCTGGTGCTCCGGGCCCTGGTGCTGCAGGTGGTACTGGCGGCGCCATAGGCAACGCCGTTTCTGCAGGTGCTGCTGAACACCAAACTCCACGACCTTCAGTGGACGTGCCAAAGAAGAAGGAGAGTGAGCCCGCTGAGCCGGCTCCATCGATTCCTTTTCCGGGCTCGAAACCGGCTAGCACACTGTTTGGAATTTCGCCAAGTAAGAAAAAGCAGCAAAGAGAGATTTATTATTTGAATAACTGAACTGTTTGTGTTTTCAGGCGATATTGATAAGTACTCCCGTGTCATTTTTCCCGTCTGTTTTCTCTGTTTTCATTTGGTAAGTTTTTTGTTTTGTGGAGCTTAGTTTTGGTGGTTTAGATTAGCATGATTTTAAAAAGTTTACAAATCGGACATTTCAATAGTTTAATTGCATTAGTTTACGTTGAGAATTTGCATATTTAAAAATTTAATTTGCACAAATTATTATGGTGTAGATGTACTGGCTGATTTATACGCACATAAGCAGCTTTCTGGAAATTGAAGCAGAAGAACCTAGCTCATGAGCGCCGAACAATACTGAGAAAACTTTTTTACTTCTGCTCAAACATTTCTTTTTATACTACAAAATTGATAATATTACAACCGCGTCACAATTTTAAAACTATTACTTCTGTAACGTTTTCAGAATTATTTCTTTGTGTAAAATTATTATTAATGTTTATAAAACGTAAGCGTTTGGTGTAAATTTAAAAGTGAAATTACAAAGTGAACAATAAACCGTCATCATCATTCATCATCAAAAGAATCCACAAATGGTATACGCTCAAAAGGAGTGTCAAAAATGAACAACCAGTACCAAGTGACAAATGCTTTTTGATAATCAAAACTTGTTTTTTTCAACATCTTAACTGTTGTGCTAAACAAAGATAAATATAAAAAATAAATCAATTTTATAGAAAAAAGGCAACGGTTTTTGCCACTGACTTAACTCCGAGTAGACAACAGTGAACTGGAAAAAGAAAGAACAAATAATAAATTATCATTAGATGCAATCAACTGACTAACAGTTAGAAAAAAGTCCATTGACATCAAACAGTAATCGCCGTACACGATTCTGTATCGTTTGGATATAATAAGAAAAACAATGAATGAATTCATTGAAAAATACATTTAAAACCTTTATTTTCAGTTTAGTAGCCTAAAGTTTAATTAAAACTAGATAGAGAAACTTTGGTATCTACAATTTATAGTTCATAAAATTTACAAACGCAATGGCACATTTTCATTCAAACAAATACAGTTTTATTTTCAAACTTCATCCTTGACCTTCTTCTGCTGCTTCGCCTGCTGGTCCCGCTTGGCCTGCTCCTGTTGCTCAATGACTTTGTGGACAAAGGAGCGAATGTCGTTGCTTGTAATAACGGGCTCCTCAAATGCTGTGAAATGCCCACCCACAGGAAACTCGCTGTAACTAACTAGATTTGTGTAGGCGTGTTCCACTAGCTTGCGAGGCGTACGGACCATCTCATGTGGTGTGTCGACAGTGGCTGCTGGAACGGTCAGTTTAGCACTGAAAATGAAAAAAGGTTAGGTTGTAGTAGATTCATCAGAAAAAGCAAGAGTGTGCATACTTGGCAATAGGGTTATGTCGTGCCAAGTTTTCTTTGTAGAATCGCTGGCTGGAGGCAATGTTTCCCGAAGTCCAATAAATCATGATGTTGGTAAGCAACTCGTCGAGGGTGAACTTCTCGGTGAGACCGCCGTCATCACGGTCACGGTACGCGGGATTTGTCCACGTGGAGAACTTCTCGAGAATGTAGGCAGCCAAACCGACGGGGCTGTCCACCAGAGCGGCGCCCACAGTGTCCGGCTTGGTCGCCTGAATGTGCATGTAGCCACTTTCCTGAAGGAGGTAGAAGATGCGATCCTTCAGCGGGAACAGTTTAGCGTAGTCTCGATCACGCGTCTCTGCTGAGAAGAAAAGACTGGGGAAGTACTGCGCAAGGAGGACCTTGGCAATGTAGCAACCCGACTCCATGTGATTGATGCCCTCCCAGTTGCCGAGAATGTGAGCACCGATGACGCTGTTAGTGGGTAAAAGTGTTTAGTAATTAAACAGCAACAAATTAAACTTTGCTTACTTTTCAGGGAAGATAATTGAAATCAGTCGCACTATCAGGTTACCCCAATCTCCGCCGTGGACGTAAAACTTTTCATGGCCCAGTCGTTTCATCAACTTGACAAAGACGCGAGCAGCTGCGTTGCCGTCAAAGCCTGCCACCAAATTGAAGGTACCAATTGTTAGTAACATGAGACACTGAAATACTTGTAATTGCCTTCCTACCTTGCTGGTGCGGTGCTTCTGAAAAACCGTAGCCGGGAATGCTTGGAATGATCAGTTCAAATGCAACACCGTTTTCATCGGGTTCAGTGAGCAGTGGAATGGTTTTGTAGTACTCGAGCACCGATCCAGGCCAGCCGTGGCTGATGAGAAGCGGTACCACCGTCTTTGCCTTCTTTGCGGGCTTTACATGCAGGAAGTGTACATCAATGCCTTCAATCTGGGTGACAAACTGGGGGACTGCGTTCAGCTTTGCCTCCTCCTTCTTCCAGTCGTACTTGGTCTGCCAGTAGGTGACCACCTTCTTGAGGAAGTTTGAGTTGAAGCCGTAGTTGAAGTGCGTTCCCTCGATGTGATCAACGTAGCGCGCCTTTGAAAGGCGGCTCTTCAGGTCAACCAGGTCGGCCTCGGGCACGTTCACCTTGAAGGGCCGAATTGCCGGGTTGTCTTTGGGAGCTGCCTGACCGGCTAAGTGGGAGAGGGGTAAAAAAGATTTGTAGTAAACTTTTTTAGTTGTCAGAGTTAACTGAACTAACCTTTAATGGCCGCCTTGCCAAAATACCCATCGACCCTGTAGGGCGCCACATCTACCTTCTTGTGGCAGCAGCTGGTGGACTTGTAGTAGACGAAGGCGCCCACTGCCAGCAGCAGTGTCAGCACTATCACTCCCTTTCCCATCTTCAATATACTAACGTAAGATTTTTGTGACTGCTTTTCCCTAAATGACAGCGCAAGAATAGAAAAGCTACGATTAAAAGACCGACCGGTGGCGGCAAACAACGGCAAACTGTCAGTCTGCTAGTCGGTGTTCACTGTTTTATACACTTTTTTAGTATTTTCACCAGCGTCTATCGCCTCAACAACAGCCGATGCAGATGCAGCAACAGCAATGGCAATTGCAATTGCCTTAATCGCAACCAGCACCACCGACACTTGTTGTCAAGTTGGCTGCAGTTTTTTGGCGGTGCGATGGTAGGTGCGATGAATACGATAAAGTGGGCACTACCTCTTCTTTCTTTCTCTCAAGCCTATGGAAGTGACTGGCTTGTTGGCTTGTTGGCTGGCTGGCTCTTCTTCTGATAACCTTGACTGGCACAACCTCCACCACTGAAGCTGTGTTCTGGAAGAAGTTGATGCTGTACTGATCAGAGAGGTAGATGCAAAGCGAACGGTGCTTTAACTTACACGCCGTGCTTCGGTGCAACGAGTACAGTTCTTCAGTGCATTTTTAGCATGACAGAGCGCTTTGCAGCGATAGCAATGCGGAGGATGCTCCGTCGGTTGATCGGTCGGCCGGTCGGTCGTGTGGTGGTGATGGTAATGGAAAAGAGCATCTGAGCTTGACTGGTAATTACATCATGTAGTAAAAATGTTGCAAACGGCTTTGTTGCTTTTGGATGCTTTCAGATATAAAATAAGTACTGAGTGTGCTGTGTTGTGAATAAACAATTGCCGAGTATACGGTTTTTTAATTTGTTATTTACTACTACGTTTTCACCATTTTTAAGTACTAATTTTACACTTCGTCTTTTAGCTGTTTGATTCGTTTTGAAGTTTTTAGAGATGATGGAGGTAAGGGTAGATCAATTTTGCCAAGAAATGACAGCAAATCTGCACAAATTAGATCAGGGTTTTCAAATGCGGTGAAATGACTGCCTCGCTGAAGTTTTGTTTGCTGCACAAGTTTTGTGTAGCTTTTGGCCACCATTTTCTCAGGCGATCGAATCAGGTGGTGAGGTGTGTCGACGGTTCCGGTGAGAACGTTAATTTTCTGACTGTAAATTGCAAGAAAACTAAATTAAAATTGCCGCAGCGAGTAATGATAGCGAGTAGTACCTGAGAATGATTGTTAGCAGATCAGTGTTTTCTACAAAGTTTTCCCGCCAGAACCGCAAGCTAGCGGCAATTCCTGATGAAGAGTGCCAGTAAAGCATGACATTGGTCAAAAGTTCGTCCAGATCAAACTTCTCCACTAGACCGCCGTCTTTGCGATTGACATTGCCCAAAGCACCAAGGGAGGCAAACTTGTCGAGAATGTAGGCAGCCAGTCCGACGGGACTGTCCACCAGAGAGGAAGCAATGGTGTCCGGCTTGGTCGCTTGCAGGTGAATGTAACCGGTTTCAGTGAACAAAGTCAAAAACTTCTCGCCTAGTGGATTCAGTTTAGAGTACTCCCATGTGCTCTCGAAGAAGTAGAATACTTGAGGGAGATAGGAATAGAAAGCTATTGTGAGCATTTGGTAAGGCGAAGTGACCGTCGTTAGAATGTCCATGTTGCCGACCAGGTGAATAGCAAGCAGACTGCAAGAGAATTAGGCAAGAGTGAAAAAACAAAGAATGATATTTGGACTTACTGTTGGGGATACAGAACAGCCATCGTACGGGCAATGATATTGCCCACATCACCACCATGTACGATAAACTTTCGATGGCCAAGTCGTCTCATCAGTTTGAGAAAAACCCTCGCAGCTGCTGTGGCATTGAAGCCTCGTTGATGTGGCCCCTCAGAGAAGGCAAATCCAGGAATCGAGGGCACGACTATTTCAAAGGTAGTGCTCACATTTTCCTCCTCATCACCGGCTACTCCTTTTGCCATCAGCTGAGGAATGATCTTGTAGAACTCATAGAAAGATCCGGGAAAGCTGTGAATGAGCAGCAGTGGAATGGAGGTGACGGAGGCGTTCTCCTGACGGACGTGCACGAAATGCACCTGCAAACCTTCAATCTGCGTCCGGTACTGTGGAAAGGCGTTCAACTTTGCCTCCTCAGCTCGCCAGCTGTAGTCACTGCTCAGCCAGTACTTGACGACTCGTTTCAGCACTACCGAGCTGAAACCAAAGTTGAAGCTGGTTCCGGAGATGTGGTCTACAAAGCGGGCTCGCTGCAGACGACGTTGCAGGTCAGTTAGCTTGGACTCGGAGATGTTGACGGTGAAGGGTCGAATGGTGAGATCATCCAGTGGAATGGTGCCGCCTTATGAAAGATGGAAAAAATCTGTAACACACAGTTTAAAGTTCAAAGCAGTCTAGATACCTTTGATTGCTTTTCTGCCAAACCAGCCATCCTTTCGGTACGGCTTTAAATTCACTTTGTGGTGAAAGTACCAGCGAATTAGATAGGTGCAGACGCCCAGTACCAGGAGCAATCTTGTTAGTTTAAATAGATTGACCATTTTACTAATACTTCTCTATGAGATCAAAATTATTTTAGCAGTTTTTTATTATTTTTCTCTACTACAAATGCCAAATTGTGTTTGAATGCGACAGTGCAAATATTGATTGAATTTGAGTTCCTCTTTTTCTTCAAAAAACCTAATCTTCTGTTGTGCCTCAACAACCGTCGTCCTAGACAACGACTGAATTTTTGCGCAGTGGCAAAACTGCCGGCAGTTTTAAATGAGGCAACCTAAATTATTGATTCAACAACCGCAATTATCACCTTAAAGTGACTTTGAAGTAAACATTTTACTGCCTTGGCTGCTGTCTAATCAATAATCAATTTTTTGACAATTTCCAAAATCCACTTTGCGCACTTTGGTCGGAGCAGCAGTGGCCAATTTGAATGATGTCTCCTCCTCTGTCGCTGTTTTTCTCTCTGTAGCCTTTCTGTAAATGGTAATCATCTGCAAATGTAACGTGTCTGTCCGTACGAGACAACGGTTGAGATGCGAAAACACACAAAAAATAACAAGTACAAAGTACCGCCGTAGTGATTAGCAACTGTGCCAAGTGTGTGTACTCTAAAAATATAATATA